AGCTTCAAAAATAGTGTAGATCGAGCAGATCCATGAAACTTGAAAACCTTGAAAATTGACAGTCAAAAAATGCATTACAGGATGCACCATTTTCAAAACTTAAAATCCCTTTTTTTCTCATGTTAATGCATCTTAAGTTTGAGGTGATCAATTTCAGGATATTTGGGTATCAAAACAACATTTTCTAGTGAAAGTTTTGATGTGTGCCCTAATTTGATTGTCTAGAGCCTCGCACTTTTATAAACTTTTTCCTATTAATAATGCGAAATAACTTTATTCCACACTTGAATGCTTTGAATGTATCAAATTATAAAAATACCCTTGGTTGTTAATACTAAACAATGTGTTATTTATTCTGCATTATTAATGCTAAACAATGTGTTCTTTATTTGTAATGCATAACAACAAGAGTTATTTTTATTATTTGGGTGAAGTCTCCTAGGGTCAAATTATTGAAATACCTTATTGCTTTTCATCTCAAATGTTGGAGAATAGCAATTTGGGTATTTTCTAAAAAAAATGGATAGCTATCTAAGTGAAACAAAAAAGAAAGAGTATGCCCTTAAATGTTAATAGGAATAATTTGACCAGTTCAATGATTTTTTAAAGAGTTTAATCGCCTTATTTTCTTTAATAATAATGAAAAAAAAAACACATTTTTTGAATTGTCCTGATCAAAGATCAAATGCTTAGAGGCTATTATGAAACTATTGACTGAAGCCAGTTTATCCAATCCAAAAAAGTTGAAATGCGAATGATAGTTTAACAATAATAGACTAATAGTATGAGTGTTAAAGTTGGTTTTAACGAGCATACATTAGGAGTACGGTGAGCCTCTAAAGTTGCACATTGTTATAATGAGTTTACTGTTATTACCTTTTTTAGGATGAGGATTTTTTTAAAAAATAAATTTATTTAATGTATCTTTTAATCTTAATCAATGTGGCCTTTCAAAATATAGAACTTTATTTAGTTACTATAAGGCCTAAGCTTTATGAAAACAAAGTAAGGCACTTTGGGGTCAAAAATCTCTATGATGGCTCTAAAATAAATTTCCAGCACTAAATATGAAATTTGAGTTCAAAAAATGATACAAATCTTGCTTATCTATGAACACTTATGTTCAGGAAGATATGACTATTTTAGATTATGAATTACAATATAGATTGTTTTTAGGGCTTGAAATCCTAACTTTTTCATAGAAATCTCCATGATAGCTCTAAACTCAATTTCTAACACCAACCATGAAATTTGAAGTTCAAAAAGTGATACAGATCTTGCTGATCTATTAACACTTATGTTCAGGAAGAAATAAGCGATCTAGATAATGTGTTACAATATACACAATTTTTAGAGCTTGAAATCCTAACTTTTTCATAGCTATAATAGTAAATGGAGAGATGATTGATTTAAATTTTTTTGATGTTATAATTAAATTTCAGTGAGTTTTTAGATGAAGCTTTACTTGTTTTTATAGGGAAGCACCCTTATAAAATAAAATTTCCTTTTCAAAATTGTATTTTTGAGTTGGAAAATTCGTGTGTTATCATCACTTTTTATTTCAGAAATTTACCCTTTTCAAAATTAAATGGTTTGGAAAGAATGATGATGATGGCAAACAATTTCTAAAGAGGGCACTATGTACTTTGGCTTAGATACGAAGACCGGTATAAAGGGAGGGCTTTCAATGTGACCTCTCCCACATATATGGTATATGTGACCCCTAACTCGGATTTGAGTAGATGGCTGAGATGACTTGAGTCACAATATCACAAGTTAGCTCTTGACTATCACATCTTAATCAGATGACTCATAATATTTTTAGTTGTTATTTTTATTTTACAAATAATTTTGAAGAAAATTTTGAGTTATGTATAGATCTAACAATGGCGCATATAATAAAAATATTAAAAAAATATTTCCAATGATGAAAAATTACTAGAATACTCCTGAAAATTACAGGGGCATTTTGGTTATCTATTTTTCTATAAAATATTTTTTTTTTCCAGGTTCGCCTTAAATTTCTGATGAGGTGCTCAAAATTTCACCAAAAAATATTTTGTAAAAAAAAAAAAAATAAAACAGTGTTTGACGTGATATTGTGGTATGAACAATCGTAGCCATTCGATTCAGATCGAATGAACAAGAAGTGGGGTAGCATGTAACTTATATGTTGTTGGGGTCACGCATAAACACATCTCTGCTATAAAAGGGTCTAAATTGGAAAAACAAAACAACTTACTTTTTAATTCATAATTGTGTAACAATAATATTTGAAAAACATTAGATATATTAGACTGCATTACTGTTGTTTATTAATTAGAAAAGTACATAATAAGATCGTACATTTTTTGTACGAGAAATAATCCTACAGGACCCTCCGCCATTTATGTGTGTAGAACCTGAAAGGATCACCATTAAAGTTGGCACACATGGGTGGGGGAGGGTCCTATAAGATCATTACTCTTTTGATACATGAAGGTCATAATCACCTTTAATTGTTGAGTGTGAAATTGGGTGGTTATGATTGTTCCATCAACTTAGTTCAAAGTCCAAACAAACTTTTCTTATATTTTGTGACCAATCCCAAAGAATTCACTACTGCCGGTTAAAGTTGATTGTGACCTTCTTGTATCAAATATAAGTGGTTTTATTGTACAGAGAGACCATTTTGTTTTAATACAAAGAGATCATAATCATTTTTAGTCATCAAATGTAAAATTCAATATATTGAAGTTATCACAACATTCCAAAAATTTTGTTTTGAACTTTTTGCCCAATCAACCACTCGATTTCATATTCCACAGTCAATACGAATTATGATCTCCTCATATAAAAAAGAAATGGCCTCATTGTATATATTTTCATTTATTAATACTTCAAAGTTCAAACAAATATTTGAAAAATATTAAATATAGTAAACTTTTTTCTAATAACATTCTCTATGCATTTGAAAAAATAACGTTAAATTGAACCTAGACGATCTAATTTTTCAATGGTACGATTTAATGTAAGAAAACTTAAAGTTCACATTTGATCTTCTGAAAATAAACGATCTAATTTTTCAATGGTACGATCTAATGTAAGAAAACTTAAAGTTCACATTTGATCTTCTCTAAATAATTATTTTGTGATTCTTAGCTAATTTCCAAAATTTTAGATTAAAAAAAATCTGTCCAATCAGGTTTTCTACCTAAGGGAGAAGATGGATAGTCTGCTCCCGAAGGAGCATAGTATACATGTCCGTTCAAATGTATTATGTTAATTGTTTGGCATATTCCTTGTGTTACATTTAATATTATTTAATGAAAGATACTACAAAATGCCTATAGGAGAAAATGAACAGTGATTTTACCTACCCTCATCACTATCCAAAGTTTATCACATGGTCATGATTGTCCGATAGTATTTCATTTTTCATTTTTTTTTCTACAAATTAGAATGACCTGAAATTTGAAGCTTGTGTTCATCAAAAATAGAAAAATCTACGAAAAATATCAAAAAAATATTTCATATGAAAAAATTGACAAAAATACCCCAAAAATTTTTCAGGGTATTTTGGTCAATTTATTTTTCAAGAATTATTTTTTTATATATTTTTATTAGATGCGCCTTACTAATATGTACACACGTTCCAAATTTCAGATCATTCCAATTTGTACAAAAAAAATAAAAAATAAATAATAAAACACTATTAGATAATTGTGACCGTACGATGAACTTTGAACGATGATGAAGATAGACGAAATCACTTTTTCATTTTCACCTATAGACATTGGAAGGGCTTTTTTTTTATTTAATTATTTATATTTTTGGCAATGTTTAACTACATTAGTTATTTCTGGTTAAAATATGCGATTTTTAGCTAATTAATTGAAGTAAAACGGCTTTTCAAAAAAGGTAAACTTGTATATAAAATTGAGGTTTATCTCGAATACTTTTATAAAAAACACGGCCAAACAATAGATAATTCATTATTTAAATTTATTTTATTAAAATAGTCAATAACAAGGACATCCAAACAAGCCCTAAAAAAACAACAATGGCTTTTGTAATGGATGTTGTGAAGAGACTTCAAATAAATGGATATCACAGGGTTGATATTACCCACTTGTTTCAATAATGGACCAACATAAGGCATCTAAATTTTTTTAAAATAATAATAATAATTGAAAAAAAAAACACTTGTTTTCTAAAATATAACGGTGCAACCGTGATACTGCAAAAATATTTTTTGACAAGTGACACTTGGAAAATATTGAATATAATAGGTTTTATAAAGGCTAATTGCGGCGCAATTGTTTCTTTATTCATACTTGGAAGAACAAATGGCTTTCTAATAGATACACTAAGTAGCCTTGAAAAAGAAAAACAGCTGAAACAGTATTTAAATCGCCCTGTTATTTCAGTTTATTGAGAAACAATAAATTGAACATTACATTGATGTATAATGACTACTATAAAACCTTGAAAACACCTAAATTTGAGGGAATGGGGTTGGGGGCATCGTTAATTAGGGGGCCAGATACCTCAATATAATGTCTTGATGTCTCACCTCCTATTCCCACAATTAACATACAAAAAAAAAAAAGGAGTGGTTTGTATAAGGCTGAGGCCCTAAACAATCAAAGTAAATAATCAAAGTAAGGTGTCACTTCAAATAGTGCCAAAACATGTTTTAGTATCATAAATCTTTATGATGAACTGAAAATTTATTTTCATTTATAATTATAAAGTAGAAGGATTCAAAACTAGTATAAGTCAAGCGGATTGATGAACATTTGAAAATCTTGAAAATAGACGGCCTAGATAATACATTACAAGATGCACTATATTCCAAGACTTGAAATCTATTTTTTCTCATGTCCACTTATCTTGAGGTCGAGATGACCGAATTGAGGGTTTTTCAACATTGAAACCAATTTTTTCATATTCGCTTCGGAGCCTTCTTCAGTTTTGTGAGAAAAATAAAACAATTTGGTGCTTGGGCCGAATTTGGCTAGGCCTGCTAGACATGAGCACACACACATACACATAAAGAGTATCCTCCGCACACATATATATACATAGAGAGAGTATCACCCGCACGCACACACATACAGAGAGAGAGAGTACAGTGATTCTATAATCACTTTGCCTTCCAAGACAGTTATATATGCCCCATACATTGTAACCCTCACTTCCAAAAGCATACACTAACCAACCCAAAAAGCTGTTTTCCAATATTACCACTAGGCTACATCGAGCTTACAAATGTCTAACGACTAGTTATTTTTACATATTACCTCTTTCGGGCTACACCAAGACTTCTTAAACTGGGCCGAAAAATCACTCAATATAATCCAGAGAATCTGTGATTCCAACCTGCAACATGTTCCAACACAACATGAGTTTTAAGAGCATGTGGTCATTTTCTCCATTTAGTGTTTAGGTTATTTGTCCACAAGATCAGTTTCCTCTCTATTTTCATATATAATCTAGGAATTCAATCCCTAAGTGTCACTCGATGAGGGTTATACCTTAACAATGTGCACTACCAAAATCATCCAAAAAAGGGAAAAAAAACATTCATAACAAGTCAAGTAAGTTGCAAGACAATGCAAGATTACCTCCTTGTACAAATGCTCAAGTTGTTCTTTGGCTTCTGGAAAATTGCCCGAGCACCAGTGTTGTAAGGTGAAAATATTGTCTAAAGGTTGAAAAAGTTAGTTTGCATGAAATTTGTTGTATGGTATCACGTAATGTTCCATAGACAAAACAGAAGATAACAAAAATATAAAGGAACCATTTGTCCAAAAATAGGGGAAGGTTTGTATTTTTCTGAGATTAAGAAAGTAGGAACCCGACCACTTTGCCACAAATGTGAGCTATCATCACCCATAGAGAGATCAAAATATTACATATTTTCCAGAAAGGCATTCTTTCCTGATACTGCTTACTCTCTCTCTCTCTCTCTCTCTCACTCTCTCTCTTACACACACACACACACACACTTTTAAAAGCAGTTAAGCTGAGATTCAATCACTGGATTTTAGTATTAAACTCTTAATTAAAAGCAAACAAAACGTTGCAATATTCAAGAAAACAGCATAACATATAATTTGCTTTAAACAAAAAGGTTAGCACCAACTGACTCAAACATAAAAACAGATTAGGGGTGCAGAAAAGAAAAAGTGGCCCCTGACCCAACCTAGCCCACATGGAGTGTTGAAAGCAAGTTGGATCCCTGCTTTGGAAATATTAATGAGATACTGCCATTTCAGATATTGAAAGATTGATGACCATTTTCCTGATATTGTCCCTTAAAGTAAGAGGAATTATCAGGTAGAACCAAAATTCTACCTAAACTCTTAGATCCCAGGCCATTACAGTCCAATCAACTGATGATGTTGCTAGACGGAGAGCCACACCTGCCACTTGGGTCATTTCATGATCTGACAGGTCCCGGGCTCTCTCCAACACCATTCATCAATTGATTGGATGGTGTTACCCTGGGACGTAGATAGATTAGGTAACACCTGGTTCAAGGACCATGAACTTCATTATGATAGAAATAGAACAAAAAATCTCAATTAAAAGGACAACCTGTCCATCGATTTGTAGCTGCATGGGCCACATCGGTAGCATCCTCTGATAGCAAAAAATAAACAAATAAAACAAATAAAAAACTAAGAAGAATTGAATCATTGAGCAACATGATCACTAACCAGCTACAGATATATCAATTATGATCACGATAGTAAAAAAAAAAAAAAAAAGGAATTGCAGAAGTATGATATCTCAATGACATAATACTCGTCATTCAATTTCTAGTCTAAATTGAGATATGCGATTCTATGACAGTAAGGGCTCATGTATAGCTTACAGGTTTATGGTTCAGCCCCTTTCATTTAAAAGTTGATTGGGAGAACAGGGTAGTGTCAATGTCATAGGATGGGCTCATAAAGAGTCCTTTATTCTGCAGAAGTTGGCTATGATATGTGGTGAGATCTTCGGCATTAGTGACTTTAAGAATGTGTTATGCATATTCTTAGAGGAGCTAACCAGAGGCTGATACTGTTGCCAATGAAGGGGCCTTTTAAGAATAACTCTATGCTGAAACAATTTCATCGTTGGATTTTTGGAATGTTGTCTTGACATCTCTTAACCTGTTTTCTGTTTTTGAGTTTCTTTGCAATTTTATTTTAGTAAAATAAAATTTTTAGTTGATGATAATAAAAAGAAAGGGACTGAATATGAAACAAATCCCAAATCGTCACATTATTTGCCTTGAAAACTGCATATTAGCATTATATTCAAGAAAATGACAGCTTTGCACTACCAGAAAGTAGCAAAAGGACTCGCACCTCAAAATCTGTAGCCCCATTTTTTAGGCCTTTCTCATGTGTATCTTCCAAATCTCTCTCTCTCTCTACATATCTCTCTCTCTCTATATATGTGTGTGTGTGTGCAGGTGTCTGTAACGTACTAAGTATTCAAGTATATTATTTTATAAGGAATTGGAGGACAGTAGTATTTGATGCACCTAGGCTTCTGATGCCATTGTGAAGCTCAACTACCATAGCAACTCACTTGGCAATCCTGGACAAATTGGTAATTAGGGTGGGTAACCTTTTCCATAATTGCAAGAAGGCTAGAACTCAAGGTTGATGAAGGTTCATTGGGAGTGTACGCCACTTCACCGGTATTGAAGCTAGAGCACTACTAATGGTAATCAAAGTTCTCTTCCACTTCTTGTAAGAAGTGCTAGTGGAAGGTGGCCCCTTGAATGTGAGAACATGGGCATATTTCGATGCTCCAACATCGAAGAAAATCATGGGTATCAGCTAGTGCTTTAAAACCCAAACTCGGGCTGGGTCTCTCTAGAGTCCTGAGCCGGAGTCAGTTGAGTCAACTAGGCCAGGTCTCAAGAAGACTCAGCCAAGTCTATGGTTACTAGCTAGAAAGCCCTGAAAGGCTCAAAAGTGGCAGACTTGTTGAGTCTAATGATATTCATATGGGAATTGCCAAGGCCCTGAGATGAGTCGACATGGCTGTTTGTAGTCAACTTGCCGAGTTTTGGAACATGGGTGTTAGCTTAGCCTCTACATGTACCTTCTCATCATGAGCCATAGATACTGGGATCTCCCAACCTAGGGTTCAGTCCCACCATGGGATCTTGCTTTGGCATTCCAGGATAGGGATTTCCATGAGATCACGATTTTTTAATTTTGGGATCTCGATCCCACTTTTTAGAGATCGCTCCTAGCCACTAGAAGGGGTAACAGGAGGCCAGGAAGATGACCCATTTGGATCTTAATTGTGATCATGCCTCCCCCTGGCTCTCTCTCCCCCCCCCCCCCACCCCCCCCTCCCCCCTCCTTTCTCTCTGCAATGCTTTTGGAGGTTGTGATCACTCTCTCTCTCTGCAATGCTTTTGGAGGTTGATATCACTCTCTCTCTCTGTGCAATGCTTTTAGAGGTCTCTCTCTGCAATGCTTTTGGAGGTCGTACCTTGGAAAATTGTAAACAAAGTAGTTTGATATGTTTTTGGAGGTTGTAAAGTGTCAAATTGTAAATAAAGAGGATTTTATTTACAACTGTCATGTTTTGAAGAAGTCAAGGAGAGAGCAGATTTCTTGGCAAACTTACCCAGAGAAACATATATCCACACACATGCACATGCAAAGTTATCCAGAACTCATTCGAACATTGGGGAAAATAAGGTCGCTCAAAAGACCCATAGTACATGATTGGTCTCCAGGAAAGAATCAAGTGAAATGAATCCTGTAGCTCCTTAGATATAACAGCTTATCTCAAAATGTTAGGGCTCAGCGGATACAATTCAAATAGAGAACAAAGCTTTCTAATACATTGAGCACTTTCGCTATTTTCACCACCAATTCATGCAACAAGGTGCTATGCTCGGTACAACTGAGAGGAAGCTTACCTGGCCTTTGATATTGAAGAAAAAGGAGAATACACCAATACAATGAAACAAGGGAGGGTTTGGAAATGAAAAATAAAGGAAAAAAGGAGAATGAACCTCTTCTTTTATTTGTTCACTACATCTAATACAGATGTAATTCTTTTTGGGAGTGAAAGGGAAAGACTATGGCTTGTCATGCTAAGCATCTGCTTCGATTTCAGTGCACAAAAATACTCCAGACATTAAGTTCACGTTGAAAGTTTCAACCGCAAAATTTTTACTTGGTTCACAATTTAATAAAAGTGAAACTACACTTACATCATACACAGATAAAAGACATATCCGGTCCACAACCTCCAGACTGAATTAGAATGTGAAAAGGAAGTATTGACCAGCTCATGCAATAGTATGTAGCAGCTTAAGAGATGCAACAGATTAAATGAAACAAAGTAAACCCACATCCATAAATCAAACATGGTTAAGCAAAACAATCAGAAGGAACAAAAGAAAATATTTGAAGTATGAAGACAATCAATTTTGTATCCGTAAATGGCTAATAATGAATTTCTGGTATTGTCTTACTCATAGCTTCGATAACTGCTGGGTCGTTGTCTGCATAAAGTGCCATTTCATCCTAAAAAACAGGCCATTGTCGTGTGAACATGAAATCTTTAACTTCATTTTTTGGTCCTTAACGATGCCGAAGGCTATAACTCACATTAAATTCAAAACCCAGTTAATATTCATACAAAATTACCTTTAGTGCATTGTACTGTTCTTCAATAGCTTTCAGGCCTACCAAAGCAGCCTCTCGCTCATCCTACAAGACAGACTAGAAATTGTTTTTCAAAGCCTGGCTTTCCTCGATTAAGAAATTCAGTGTTTAAGTAAAGCGCAATTTGATACTTTTGCATTATAAGATACACTTACAGATTCCTCTCTGCCCTTCTTTAGACTATCTCTTTGTTGAACAAGCTCATCAAAGCGCTTTTTACTGCTGGCAATATCAGATTCCAGTTTACTATATGCATTCCTCAGCTGCTGAGAACCAGAAGTTAGAAGATGCAAGGTCTTTATTCCAAGAGCATGAATTTTAAACTTATCCAATTTGACTTCATAGAGTCACCTGATTTCCAGCACAACTAGGAAGGCTCCAAAAATAAACCTGCCAAGAGTTGGACATGAGCACAAATAGAACACTAGTACTAAAAATAATGGCACTACAAACCAAATTAGATAAACAGCAAATGGAATGTATTGATAACAGTAAATAGAATACTACTTTGAATGCCAAATAGCAGTGATGGTTAAGAAAAGAATGCAGTCTCTAGTCTGGACAACAAATTTAAACTACAAATTCGTTAACAGAATGGTTCAAGGCAATTAACAAGTCTAATAGTTTACACTTTAAATACCCCAAAGAAGCAGTTATCTTATCAGCTCAAAGGGTGAAACAATTCTGGCTGGTTTGGTTTGTTCCCCTTCAAAACAATACAGACGTCTGCTAATTTTTAGAAAAAGAAGATAGCATAATTAGATCCTCATAGAATGGTTAATTAATGAATTGATCCAATCAATAGTTGCAACCTAGTCCTGTATGACTACAGCTAGACAGGTGGGACCATCTCACTAGCATTTATGCTAGATGATTCCTCTATTTTTTGGAAGAGAGAGAGAGTAGGGGAGAGAGAAAGAGAAGAGAGAGAGGGGGGAGAGAGAGAGAAGAGAGAGAGAGAGCGAGAGAGAGAGAGAGAGAGAGAGAGAGAGAGACGACCGTTACGTTACGTACTCGTACGTACGTACGTAATAGTCGGTACGTAACGTAAACCGTTAACGTACGTAGTAGTACTACTACTACAACACTAGTAG